TGTTATTATCAAAGGTACTATGTTATCTTGAAAGGTACAATTTTATCCTCAAAGGTACTATGTTATCCTCAAAGGTACTATATTATTCTCAAAGGTACGATTTTATCCTCAAAGGTACTATTTTATCCTCAAAGGTGCAATGTTATCCTCAAAGGTACAATGTTATTCTCAAAGGTACAATGTTATCCTCAAAGCCACAATTTTATTCTCAAAGGTACAATGTTATCCCAAAAAGTATTGTAAAAAGCAGGTAGTACAACTGTTTTCAAAGGTTAGAATAGTTTATTCTCAAAGGTACTATATTATTCTCAAAGGTACAATGTTATCCTCAAAGGTACAATGTTATCCTCAAAGGTACAATATTATTCTCAAAGGTACAATGTTATTCTCAAAGGTACAATTTTATTCTTAAAGGTACTATTTTATTCTCAAAGGTACTATGTTATCCTCAAAGGTACAATGTTATCCTCAAAGCCACAATTTTATCCTCAAACCACAATGTTATTTTCAAAGCCACAATGTTATCCTGAAAGGTACAATGTTATCCTTAAAGACACATTACCCATAAAAGTATGATGTTATGAAATTGAAAACACTTAGAAATTATTTGTTTCATACACATTTTATTTTTTTTCCAAGTTTTCTAATCATATTTCCATAGTAATACATATTAGATATATTTATATAATTATGTATATATACTGTATATAATATTAGGGTATTGGGCAAATATTAACAAATTAAAGAACAAATGTACAATACCAGTACATACATAGAGCATCAGACAATGTAATATAGCAACAACATCACATATGCAACAGAAAAATTGGTAGACAAATAAGTTTAAATATTCCCGTCCTCAATTCTGTTCATGTTGGTGCTTTGGCAGATAGCATCACAGCATTTGGCCGAATTGAGAACAGAGTAGAAATACATCAGAGTTTCTCACAAACCTTAAAGTACAGATGAAATGCCCCAAAAAGTATTGTAAAAAGCAGGTAGTACAACTGTTCTACAACTGTAGTAGAGAAGATAAATTGATCATTGAACTTTTAGTTATTTGAAAGTTGATGTCCAGCATGCAAAATTAAAACTATTTTGTATACTTTACCAAATTAGAGGATAATAAGATTGACGTGATGAGTTTGCCAATCTCAAGTAAAATATTGACAAACCATGGAGACGAACTTGAGCAGGATGAAACGACCTTAGGAAGAATGGGCCTATATTGACACGAAAATAGCATTTTCTACCCTGACTTGATAAGTTCATTATGCAGTACACAAATAGTTTATATAAGTAACTACATTTCTACAGTAGCTGTGTCCATCCTCCTGATAATGTAGTTGATTCAATACTGTATCACTGAGCATTTTCATGTGCTACAGCCATTTCTACTATTTAAAGATCACTGCTCAAATGTAAATACATGAATTACATAAATACTTCAAAGACATCCTCCAGAACAGTATCAGTAAAATAGTTGGGTTTGAATAACTGAATATTTTAAATAGAACAAGGAAAAATCCAACCAACATACTATTATAACATATGCATTTTTCTTCGACCACAAAAACTTTTTTAACTAATAAAATGAAATAATAGTGTTATGAGCCATTTTCTTACCAAGATCAAACCTCCTCATCACTTAGTTGCCTCATCACTGAGTTTCCTAGACAACCAAGTCATGTATGACCTGTCAATTTAAGGAAATAGGTAATACTGCACCAGTTATAATCTTCGAGACAAGTTCCACCTGAGCAGTTGTTTCTGGCTTAGAGTTACCCTCCTTCTCTAAGAGTTACCCCCCTTCTCCAGGTAGCTCAACCTTATTTTTGATGTGAATATATAATTCATGAACACATTGTTTAACTTTAGGATTGGCAGTAGATGGATCCCAATTTTGATCCCAGTATTTTTTTTCCTATTTTGGTTTTCAAACACTCCATTTTAAACAACTGTAAATCTGTAAAATTAATTGCCAGATGAGATAAATATTTCACAACAGTGACAAAGTAATAATATCATTTAACTTAATGGTACTCCTCACCTTGATAAGATTATATTAAATCAAGTTATTCAGTTTGTTCTGGTTAAAAAGTTTAGAACCTCATGCATATTCAAGAGCAAATGTAGATCTGTATTTTTTTTCTAGTTATTTTTGTAATTTCAAATTCCTTCATTTCACCATAAGTTTGATCATTTAGGGATTTAAGATTCTGGAGTGTAATGTTCGTAACAACAAATGGCAGTATTAATATGAGACCTGACCATAACCCAATAAAATTTACAATATAGCTCTTTTATTTCACATTGTGTAATGAATGTGGTTCTGTTGCTGGAACAAGTGGGATTTACACTTCACATTATGTTTTCAGTCCACAAACATTACACATAAAACCTCCTTGAAATATAAGAGGTTTACAGTAAATATCAGTGCTATACACAGTTAACATATGTGTTATATACAGTGTTTCAACACCTAAATCAGTATGGCTTTCTGTGGTCACGCTAATGGAAGGTAGTTCACTTTCTTCACATCACTAAAATCAGATTCTGGTTTTTTAAAATTCAATTTTATCATCTACCACTATACTATACTCTATACTCTATTTATCAAATTATCTTTCAGACTTTTAACTGTTATTTCCACTTCCTCAGCTATGAAGCCCATCATCTTAGATCTCAGATTTTTAAGTGCATTCTGCTTCTGCACTTTCAAGTATTTACCATTATCAATCCACACCGGAATTTTGTTTTCTCCAATCTATATACCATAGATCTAACAAGGAGGTTATTTTCTTTATGTCAAACCCTAATACAACAGAGCCAACACACATTGTTTTTATATCTGGGTCGAAACCCAAATACAACATTACAAATGAACATTTATCAATAACCAAATAAATGTATCCTATACATTAAAGTAAAAAATGTTTCCGTCTAAATATCACAAACTTGTTCCTTTCAAATGAATATAGCTTGCACACAAACCAATCACATTATACAATCTCTCTAAGTTTACCCGACATAAAACCCAACTTAATTAAACTTTTAAACAAAAATTTAAACAAAATAAAGAAGTGATGAACATGAACAGAGACTGTTAGAGAAAATCAAGGTAGATCTGTGTTCTGGTGAGACTAGAAAAAGTAAAGAAATAGAATATAGTATAAACATGTACTTAACACATATCAGTGGTTTCCATAGTGAACTGTTTTGGCCAATATTGTGCTATATATAGACATAGTGAGCAAAGACATGCAAATAACCACCTTACATACATGTGTTAGTCTCTAAATTTTGAATACAAAGATTGTGAAAGTTCTATAACATTACATTGAACAGATCTAGGGCATACTTGCCAGCTCTCCCTATTTAGGACCCTAACATTGAGCATTTTCAACACGTGAATTTGCTAAACTATTTCTATTATTTCATCTGAAAGAACAGCTCAAAAGATGCCATTTAGAAGTGTTACTTTTTCCCTAGGGTGAACATACACACATTATACTTTTAATTCCTAGCAAGCGTAATCTCCCCAATGGAAATTTAAAAAGTTGGGTATACCAATAAGACTCCCACAACTCTACCAACAAGACCTCTACTGCTCTAGACTATATCAATAAGACCTACCAATGTAAGTGTTTTTGGTTAATATTTGACATTATATAAGTGTAATTTTGTAGTTATATTAAACCACATGACAACTTATCTACTGTAAATGCACTTAATTTTCCTATAATTTATGAAAAATGTAACTAACCTAAGTTAACTCATTCACCCCTGAAGACACATTTGAACTCTTCCAATTCAAAGGTTAGAATAGTTCATTATGAAATCTCAGGGATGAATGAGTTAAAACTGACACAATAGTCAGTGTCTAACATATTAAGATTTATTACCCGTTACATCTGCTTTTGTGTCCTTAGTAAGGTCAAATTTCCCTGTTCACAGTTGCATTCATGATTTGGCAATTAATTGTAATAACGTGTCTAAGAGAATTTTGGTCAGTACTGTAAAGGTGGAAATTTTCGCATGTGGTTTGGCTGCGTCGTGACCCTTCAAACTGATTGCATTATTTTACGCATTGGCAAAAGTTCTTTTTATCTATGATCTATATAACCTATAAATATATATTCACATGTTGATATTTTTGCGTTAATTTCCTAAGCGTGAAAAACGGGAACATTTCCACTTTGCAGTATAATAAAAATCTACACTTACATGTTTAAGAATAATCATTTAAATGTTTCAGGCTTAGGAACTAATAGCTACACTGAGAAAGGTATACTAACTATGCCAAGTAACAATGATTTAGTACTGGTAGCTACACGTTCAGTTTCTTCATGCAGTGAATTTCAAAAAAAAATGTCTAGCTGATAAACGACATTACAGAAAATTAGTAGATCTACTGTACTGTCTTGTCATGACTACACCCAAAATCACCCAGTCCACAGTTTGTAGATACAGTTTTTGGTCAAGTTATACATAATGTTCGTATGTGAACAGGCAAGAGGATTTCACAGCTGCTGGTATCTCATATTTTGTGTCCTGTGTATGGGTAATCAAACAACAGTATTTATCATATCTTCTCCCCTGTGCCTCCCTTTGTAAAACATCTAGCCATGCCACAACTAAGTGCTCCCCCCCCCCCCCACAAT